CCAGAGACTGATACGGTTATTTTAATAAAAAGTTCTAATAAGCCTAAAGTACATGGATGATTATACAAATTAGAAACAAAATTATTTTCATTGATACCCAAATAAAAAAGCTGAATGAAAAAAAAATATCAAATTTTAAGTACCTACAAATATTGGCTAAAAAATACAAGCCTAAGCAATGCTATAAATAATTTACCATTATTTACATATTATATTAAATTATTATTACCATACATGTATGTTATTGACTGATAATAGGTACTACTTCCTATTTTGTTTGACTTATTGATTCATTATTTTTATAGTTGTGTAATTTTTTAATAAATCATTTTTTTAAATGTCGTATCCCAGACAGCAAATGTTTGTCTAAAATTACTATTATAACATTATTGATTATTCTATGTATTATACCTAAGACTGATGTTTTTTAACTGCACTATATATTTTTAATTAGTAGTAAAATAGTTTTATTTGTATTGATTATTTTTATATTATTATTGTTTTTACCAAGTCTGATATTTTTAATAACGAATAAACATTACCTATTTATGTGGAACTGTTAAGAGAAGTTTATGAACCACTACTTAATTCTATATGGAAGGCAACTAGTGTGAACATTTTTGGGAGGCAACTCGTATATAATTATGCACTACCTGGTCATCGGAGGCAACTAGTGTAAATTAACCTTTTTATTTACGATAAGGACGGGAGGCAATTCGGGTGAAACACGATTGCGTACGTTCGTTATCGGCGATACCTTTTTTAGGTACACGATTGCGTACGATTTTACCAGATTTTTAACTAAACGATTGCGTACGAAATTTTAAGCGCTGTTGCCAATTTTCATACCGGTATATATGCCACATATGACCAGGGTTAGGATTTTTGAAAAATTGATGGGTTGCAGATTTCACTTGGGGCAAGCATGGTGGCGTAAAGTATGTAAAATATAATATTTTTTAGATAAATTATTTTTTAAATTTGACAATAATTTTGATACATAAAAACTGAATATATTCATATATAATTATTTGTATTATTTAGTATTTCGATGCATAATAAAGTACATACATCGATACATAATACACAAAATATTATAAATAATTTATTTTAAATACCTATAAATTATTTAATTATAAAATGTAATATTT